TTTTCAGTGACAATTGTCTCCTGATCGGTTAGCCTCACCATACCTAAATAAAAACTAAATCTACAATTAAAAGACAGATATTCATACTTTTTGCAGCTAAGCACCAAGCTTTGTTCTGAAGAAGAATCTGAAGGATATTTCCATGTATGCTATAAGAGTGAATTTTGTAACAGCTGAAACATAGTTGCAGTACAGCAGAAAGCAGTGAAGTTTTATTCACTCACTCAATAATCCAAAAATTATTCAAATTATTTGAGTAATTTATATAAATTATTCAAATTATTAAATGAATGATTAACCCCATGCCAGGTAGGGTGACAATTTCTGAGAACATAGCAATCCTTTCTTTGTGGACTACTCTATTGTCTACTGTGTAGACAAATTTCAAAAAAGTATGCTGAGACCAGGCACAGGGGCTCACTCCTATAATCCCAGCACATTGGGAAGCCAAGGCAGGAGGATCGCTTGAGGCCAAAAGTTTAAGACCAACCTGGGCAACCTACCAAGACCCCATTGCTACAAAAACTTCAAATATTAGCTGAACATGGTTGTGCACACCTGTGGTCCCAGTTACTAGGGAGGCCAATGTGGGAAGATTGCTTGAGCCCAGGAGTTCAAGGCTCCCGTGAGCCGCAATCATGCCAATGCACTGCAGCATAGGCAATGGAGTGAGACCCTGTCTCAAAACAAAATAAAATAAAAAAGTATACTGAGTGTTGTAATGGGTATAAGAGGAGAAGTAAACTGATGTTGGATCATCCTGCAGAGGAACCAACCTACCCCAAAAGAAAAAGCCTGATTTGGGAACTAAGAAAACAATTGTTGAAAGAGATAGGAAAAGATAATCCAAGATATGGGAACAGAAATGGAAGAGACAGACAGCATATTCAAGTAACTAAAAGAAATTCAACGGATAGAGTGTAGAGTATTAGAGGTATGGTGGCAATGAGCGTGGAAGGTGGGCAAGGTCCAGATACTACAGGGCATTGCCACCCATGTTAAGGAGAATAGATTCTATCTTAAGTGTATGGGAAGCTACTGAAGAGTTTTTAAAAGAATAGTGACATAATTCAATTTGTAATCATCATTCTTGTAGCTGAGTAAACCAGAGTGGGAAAAGGATTAGAGGCAGAAGGGCTAATCGGAGGCTGTGACAGTATACAAGCTGATGATTACAGTGGCCTGGAGTCGTGTGGTGGCAGTGGTGATGAGAGGGAAACAAATTTGTTCAATAAATATTTATGTACATAGGGCACCAAGAAAAGAGATGGAATGAAGGATGACACCTTAGTCTGTTAGGTTTCTGGGGTTCAAAACTGGGTGAATGAGAGTGGACTTGTGGAAACAGGGAATACTGGAGACGCAGGTTTAGAAAAAGAAAAGAAGACGACGTGAATACAGAGCACAATGGAAAGATTAGCCTTCCAAAGGATGAGGCAACCTCTTCTGCTATAAAAGGAAGAATATGGGCAGATGGGTACGGATCTGTAGACAAGATAACAGGAAGTGCAGGGAGTGTCCATCTGAAGGCTTTTTTGTTTCTCCAATAGTCGAAAGATAATTCATTTGTTGAAAGCAAGTGCAATGATTAAGGGATAGAAAATACATGTTGGGGAAGAGAAGAAAGATTTGAAATGGCTTTAATAAACTCCCTGCTTGACGCTGACCAGGGAAACCCAGCTGTATTCCTAAGCAGTATTGAAGGGCCAGCTAAGACAAATAGTCATAACTTCATAATACAATCATTGTTAAAATAGATACTACATATGATAGTCTTCCGTATTTGTACTGTTCTGGTTATCAACAAAATAAAAGATCACTTAAAAGCCTTTGTGAATATACAAAATACTTTAATAACAGAGTTTATCAGCCAGACCCTCCAGTAGGTGAAATGATGTATGATGTTGCATATTAAATGTATTATATTTATTTGCTCTGAATGCTTCTCTCAATGTGGAGAAAATTACAAGAGTAAAATTTGTGAATGCATGTAGGAAAGTGAAAATTACTCTCCAGAAAACAACTCTATGAAGCTCAAAGGGAACTGAGGCAGAGAACTTAGGAGAGGGGTAAAGGATGCACACCTCTTCCTTAACAAGATTAAAGAATGCTTATAGTCAAGATGTTTCTTTGACCTCCTATGGTTAAGTGCAGGTAAAAAAAAATTACTTGTGGAAAACAAGAAAATCACTGATTGTCAAAGTGAAAGCCATCACAGTTTGTAAGGAGTGTTAGGATTTCTTAAACCATGTTTGTATGAATGCTTTAGGAATAAGACTGATTTGTGGAAGCAAAGTAACATACCAATCTAAGTAGGGGGCAGTATTGTGGAAACATCCAGGGCCAGTTTCATATTGTATGAGTTCTCCACCCGTTAGCAAATGACCCCATGACCCGCCCCCAACACACACACACACACACACACACACACACACACACACACACACACTGCCTTGAGAACAAGTGCACTGCAAACTACTGAACATGACATGTGCTTTACATTTATTAGTTCATTTGATTTGATTTGACCAAATTTAGTTTTCGCAATTCTATGAGAATGGTATTTTAGCTCAATTTTTACATATTAAAAAAACTCTGAGGCTCACAGAGATAAGTAACTTTTCCGGACCTTGCTGAGTAGTAAAGAGAAGAGTCAAGATTTTATTTAAAGTGTATTCTAACTCCAAATAGAACACTGTTTTCACTACATCATCCCTTCTGAAGGGACAAATGCCTTTGAAACATCGTGGAATCTACTTGTACCTTTGCTTCCAACTTCCTGCAAGTCATAAGCCACAAAATTACATTTAGCCACACATGCAAAATCCAATTATTACCCAATTTTAGAATTTACATTTATGATAAATATAAATACTTGTATTTAAATAACATTTATAGCTTTCATATGGTGAACACATCCATTACCTTTCTTTTTCTATTTTTATAATAACTCTGTGAGGAGGGTCATGACAAACATATTGCCTAACATAGCCGTATGACCGTGCGCTCCTGGACTTGATGACTAAACAAACTCCAAATTCAAAAAAACACTACTGGCCCACACCTTCTTGGGTCATCTGCTTTTTGGTGGTTGTTTTTTTCTGCTAATGTCGTTATGACTGTTCCACTGAATGATTCATACTTCCTTCTAAACTAAGTGTGTTAATACACATTTGCAGAGGAATATATCCAGTTTAAAATTTCTTGAGTCTCTTAACCACACTTTCTTCCCTTTACCAAGTAAAAGAACAAATCTTAATAGTTCTTACATTGCATACAGAAATATAAATGATCTCTGCTATGTCCCTGCAGACTGTTCCTGTCATTCCTTCTCTATCTTGCTGCCTTGGTTTTGTGACTGTTCAACCAGGAGAATAAAATCAGCCTGTAACAGGAAGGCAAAGGACTCATATTTTTTGTATAATGTGATTCTACATTTCTCATTCATACAACTTCTTAAAAAGGGAATAGGTCAAGGCTTATCCTGCCACTCCCTGAGGATGTAAAAATGAAGAGTCAACATCTTTAAACTGGTCCCTGTTATGAACAATTCCTTTGCCTCACAAACCATGATTTCCTGCCCCACCTCCCTTTCTGTGTTGAGCTCATCTTGAGCATGCAGGAAGTCACTTTCAGACTGAATTCAATTTTCCCCATGCCTTTTCCCCAACTCATCTGCAAGTTCTGGGATCTGCGCTAATACATTAATTACTGGACATCTACGCAACATATGTTGAGTAAGTACCTACGTGGTAAAAAGGCCTTTGCTGCTGGGTATTCCAGGAAATAAAATGACATATATGTGTGTGTGTGTGTATATATATATATATATATATATATATATATATATATATATATCTGAAAAAAAAACAATGGCAGAATGCAGAATGTCAGGCATGAGATACGGTATATAAAAATATGTTTTGTTTCCGTTGTCTGGTTTGCACATTATATGAAAAACATACAAGTAATTGAATATATCTGAAATTGCAGTACTAGAGTAAATTTATTAACCATTATTTGTCAGTGCTTTACAAGATAAAGTCATAGAATTTTAGAATTTAAACAGTCCTCTAAGACCTCCTGATACAGTTTCCCATTTTCTTAGTAGGTACATGTGACTCATGAAGAAATAAGTAAATTTTTTCTCATAAGCTACACAATTAGTTGGTGAAAAAGCTAAGACTAGCATTCAAATTTTAACACCCAATGTCATTATGTTACAAATTCCAATTTCTTTAGCATTCATTATTTCTCACAAAATAATCCCAGCATAACCTTCCAAATTTATATCCTGCTTCTTTGCAATGTTAGACAGGAATGTTGTCTCCTTTGCCCTCCACGGTAGTCCTGCCTGCTTTCTTGAGCTCTCCATCCTTACCCTAACCTCCCACACACTCACACTGCTGTCTTCTGTCTGCTCCTCTTCTAGCAGTAGTGTGTTAGCATACCTTTTTCAAATGATCAGATTTGGAAAAAGACAAAGTGGATTTTAGTTCCAACTATTCTGTTTGCTTGTCTTACTTTGTGCACCTACTCAATTACTGCTCTACACCTCTGTTTCATATATTATGAAAAAAAAAAACAGTATTTAATCATAGGGATGAGGTAATTCAGAAGTAGTGCCCATTAATGTATGGAAAGTATATTCTGATAGTTCTTGCCTGGATGTGCTAAGGAATGAGATGTATGACAATATGATAACATGAGCAAAAAATGTCAAATCCTCTTAAACTAAAAGCCACTTTACAATTGTGAAGTAGTCGCAGACTTTCACAAAATGCCTGTCAACTGTAATTGTGTTTAATCTCAATTTACCAGAATAAATAAATTTCTTACCAATTTGTGAAATTCCCTGTCTGTTTCTAATTATGTTCCACAAGTCATACGATTGGTTTAAGTTGATTCTCTCAAACTTGTTTAACAAGTTAGATTCTAATTACATGAGATTTCCTCCTTTGTCCTCAACTATAGATCACACGTAATACATGACAGTCATTCATTTGAGTGGGAATCTCAAAGCAGTTGAGTAGGCAGAACAAAGAACCTCTTCACTAAGGATTAAAATGTATAGGTAAGTCCTTTGTAGCTTTAAAAGTTTTACTATATCTGACAGTATGTGAAAATTATAAAGAAGCTTAGGAAATTTTGACTATGTCTAGCAAACCTCTAGTTACTTCTCTGAAAACTTTGTTTAAACCCTTAGATATTGTTTAGATAATATGCTTGATATTATTTCCATAAGGTACATAGTTGCTTAGCTGAATTTTTAATAAAACTAATAAGCCCAAAAATACTGCTTAGCATTATAGCAACCTATCTTTAAATAAGGAAGTAGTTTTGTTTCTCACGGGTAGTATTTCAAAAAGTGGTATGTGGATTTTAAAAGTATAACTAGGAAATAATTCTTCTGTTGTTTAGAACTTTTAGAGGGTTCTGTATTTTGACTTCCATTAGAGTTTTATTGCTAGCTATTAAATAAATATGCCATGAATCCTAAAGTACACTTTTTAGAAAGTAAGTATGGTATTTTTCTACTTTTTATATAGATGAGGAATTATTTTCAAGAAAGTTCTTGCTAGTGTTTAAAAAAAATGTCTCTCTGGTTTTCTTTTTAGTTAATGAATAATTGTTTTCATATAATTTCACATAAAAAAGCAAAAAGTTGTGGGCTAATCGACTCACATGTTAAAATCTCAAAACAATGAATAAATTATATAACTGCATGTGTTTATGTGTGCCCTTGAGTATATGTGTTATGCACATTATTTTTCTATGAAAACGGGCAAACATGATACTGATTAGTCATATTGAAAGGATCAAAAAAAGCATGAACAATGTGTCGGCTATGATAAGAGCAGTTGTATTTATTTTAAATCTCTTGAACATTGGAAAATTCAATCAAAAGTCAAACCGTTTTAAATAATAAAAATAAACAGACAATTATGTGCACTTGAATATGAGTAAAAAGTGGATAGCTGTCTAAGCTTCCAATGGCAGAAGAAATAAAATTATTTCATATTCATATAATAGATATAAGAAATTTGTTTAAGTAGGTTAAAAACCTATGAACTAATTTACATACTGAGTTTGTTCTCATTTTATGTAAAAAAATCACAAAATTATATTTCTCATCAGCTACTACTTTGTAAAGTTACATGGGAGAAAGTCTAATAAAGAACATAAAACATAATCGGGTTTATTGTATGAAAGCAGTGAATTGATGCATTATATTTTTTATTATTCTTAAACTATAATAGTCTAATATTGTTTGAGTAATATAGTACATTTTAAAATGTATTTTGCTGAAACATTTTAATTTTAAAGAAATTGCTGTGATTTTAAAATGTTGCCCTTATAAGCAGCCAAATGTATATCAAAACATTCAATGGAAAATAATAAAAGAAGACATGTAAATAATACAAATATTGAAAGAGTTGTACAATTTTAGAATGCTATGGATTAATCAAATTTCTAAGTTGATCCATTATTGTACAGGAAATTTGACAATCAGAGCCAACCTTGCCAATTACAAAGAACTCTTCTATGGAATTTTGGTTTCTAAGGATCACACTTTTTGGAGTATTTTGTCTCTTACACAGTCTGTATCGACTCCTAATATATAGTAGCTGGGTGTCCATATCCTGTAACAGAAGGGAAATGAAATTGTACAATATATATTTTTAGGTAATTCTAGGTAATTTTGACATAATTTTAGATAAATCTTCAGGTAAATTCTGAAATAATTTGGTTGAAAATGGGCTGTCTCAGATGATTGGATTGCTTTTTTTATAAAAATTCAACTCCCAGCTCTCTTCCAAGCTGCTGCAAGGTGAAATGCTCCTTTCTTTATCTACCTTGTTCTCTCCTTCCCTGAAGAAGGAAATTCTAGCATAGGGCACACCAACAGCTGTGTTAACTCATTTCAGATCCTTGGTCATTCTCAGGTTCACCATGGGAATATCTATGACAACTAGATTACATAAAAAGTATGAGATGGGGTTTGGAAAACAGGATAAAGATTTATAAACTAGAATTCAGAATGTGGTTTATGGAAAGATTTAAGGTAAATGAGCATATCTCAGCTCAGGAACAGACAAGTCTTAGCAGGACTCTTCCTACCAAACAAATCTTATTTCCATTTTCTTCCCTTTTGTCTGTGCTCAAGACGTGATTAGCTGACTGCAGAGACATGTCAAAGACAATCAGATGCCCTGCTTCCCAACAGCCCAAAAGAACGAGACAAAAGTCGGCGGGGGAAAGCCATCACTATCAAAAATGCATTCCAAATTATACCTGTTGTTTCAATCCTGGTTTTTGAACTGCTATGGCAATTTAGAAAAACATGCTTAAAATTGTAAATCATTAGGCAAAAGATCTATTTCTCCATAGAAATTAGGCAGGTGGACATCAGTTTGTCTTTACAGTCATGAAACCCAAAATAGTGCATTTAAAGTACAAGTTTTCACCTACGGAATCTTGGGCCACATGCTAAAGCAGCCACTGCATTGTCCAAAATGTTTTTCTAATGACAGTATGGGATCAATCCACATACAGGTAGATCAGCTGCAGTCAGTCATCTGGGATTATATGTTTTCTAGAAAATTATCCCATGCCACTTCCAATTTGTCCTCCAGAAGGCACTCCCAATCTATTTTCTCAGAAATTCATAACTTACCTAATTCTTATGCTACTGCAACTCCCAAATAGCTATGGCACCCCTAAAATAAGTCATGAGAAAGGAAGTCAATATCTACTGTTATAAGAGAACCTGAAGTTATCCAATCCCATTTCTTAAAAGATATTGTTTCAACTTGAAGGATCCCATTCCTTTGAGCAAAGAAGACTTGGTATGATTTCACAGTTTTGGGGAGTATTCTTTGTCTAGCTTTAGTATATGCTAATGACATGTAAAATAAAGCATCATCCCAAGTCTCAAGTCATTAATTGGATAACTGCCTATGATAGTTATAAATAAAAGGAACTTTAGAAAAGTTTATACTGATGAGTCATTCAGCAGAAACATGAAGCAGATTCTATGAAATATTTACAGTATCTGTTTGCCAGAGGTTTGAACAAGTGTATCAATGATTAATAAAATAATATATGCACTCAGGGTTCAAGGTAGTGGTGCAAAAAGTCATTGATGGGCATGGTGGTGCATGCCTGTATTCCTTTAAGGCTGAGACAGGAGGATCACTTGAGTCCAGAAGTTCAGTGTTGCAGTGAGCTGTGATTGTGCCACTGCACTCCAGCTGGGTGACAAAGCAAAAACCTGTCTCAAAAAAAGATTAAAAATTATAAATAAATAAATAAAAGCCACCGAGTCTATTTTTTCCAAGCTAGACAAGTTTTTATTCTGATAAGCTTACTTCTTAGCCAAGATATACACATGAGTTTAATAGTGCAAGAATAAATTAAGATGTAGCATTTTCTTCTCTGCTGAATATTTCTGTCAGCATAAAGACATGCCACACTATCTCCAATTAAAAAAAAATCCCTCCCTTGACACATATCCCCTGTCCAGCTATTGCCTCATTTCTCATCTCTTACTCTTAAAGGGAAAACTATTTTAAAGATCTGTCTAGACTTACTGCTTCTATTTTTATTTTATTCCTCCATTAACTTTGTTTTGCTTTTTTTTATTATTAAGCATATCACATATAAAGTCTAATTTTAAAAAAATGAGCCTTATAGCATCCCCAGTACCTTAGAAGACCCTGTGGGCACCTCTGCAATATGTCCTGTCCACTCACTGACCTTTCCCCACTTTTCACAGTGTAACTGTTATGTGGCATTGTATCCTCATTTCCTTCATTTTCTTCATGGTTTTAACATCATGGATATATTCCCCAAAAAAATATGGTTTAATTTTACCTGCCTTTGAAATTTGTATAAATGAGATCAATATATATGTTATAGGCAATAAAGTAAGCATAGCTTATTCATGTTCACAGCTATATAATATTTCAAAGTAAGACTGTCCCATAACTTATATATCCACTTTTCTAATATATTACCATTACAGATGATGTAGCGCTGAATATTCTTTCACAGGTCCAATGGTACGAATATGCAAGAGTTTCTCTTGGGTATATTCCTAGAAATAGATTTTCTGAGTCAAATGGTGTATGCATTTTTATCTTTAATCTATTCTCTCTTTTCCCAGTGCAAATAGTTTCTGCTTGTCACAGCTTTGAAATAGCTCTTGTCTTGCTCTACATCGCAAAATCCAGGGGTCAGATCTCAGTGGGTTTACATAATCACTCCACCAAAGACCATTGTTTTCTTGAAACATGATCTTCACAAAGCTTCCAAAACATTTTTCCTGTTTTTTTGCCTACTCAATGGGTCAAACTTTCTGAGTTTCTGTAACTAGATTCTACTCATTTTCCTGTCCCCCAGATTTTGAGTGCTTTTCTTCTGTAGCCCCACTTACATTCTGTGTGATTCCATCAGGCTAATGGTTTTCATAAGCTAATGATCTCTCAAATCCACTATCATTCACTGGAAAACACAAAATGCTCTTACTTCAAAGCAACTTTTAATATCAAATGGCAAAATAAATCATTTTGAATCCTACATACCCTAGTGCTTTATTTATACTTATACATCTTTTATGATATATATAATTATGCCTTATATTATGCTTTATTCATTCATTAATCTATTGAGTGTCTAATTGGAGTGAAGAGCTGTTATGTCTCGTTATACAGAACTGAAATAAAGAAGCCCAGACCTTGCTCTCATGGTACTCACTGGGTAGACAGACACCAAAAAACATTAAACAAGCAAATACCTACCGAATTAAAGTTGCAGTGGTGCTGTGAAGAAGAGTTTAAGAACTTTGGGTAATTAAGATAAATGGAAACTGTCACTGAAAACATTTACTCTGTTGAAATCTCAGCAGAGCAAACCGAAGTCTTTACTTAAAACCACAAACTTTCCTATCCGAAAGACTGGTGATTAATATGGGACTGGTGATTAACATGAGACTATGTAATTTCATTATGATTTGTTTAATACGATAACACTGAAATAAGTATTATAATAGTGAAAACTAAACCAGTCTAG